TTCTTAGATTAATGCCAAATGAATTGCCAGATTACATCAGGCTATAACAATGTTGCTATTTAATAATTAAATGTCAAGTAATTTGGCTTAGAAATAAGCATTAGGCACTATCTATTGATAAATTTAATGATTATAATTAAATTAATTATTAAATATTAAATATATATTAAATTAAAATACACTCTTTGTCCAAAAAGCTCCAGGACAAAGCTCGTAAAAAATAGAAAATTGCAATTACCAATGTAAAGTACTATATTATTTTTACACCTTTTACAACGATTAGCGACACAACTTTATGTCGGAAATAGCCGTTACCTAACAGGTACTTTACGCAGATTTGCGTTAATGTGCCAGGCTTGGACTTTAAACTTGCACTGAATTAAATAATGACAAAGTTAGTCAAAATCAAATTCAATATTTAATAATTCTAATAATGGCTATGTACAAAAATTTAGTAACAATCAACAACAAATTTATTCAAAGAAAAAAAATCAATAAGAATCAACCCGACAAAACTCAATTCAATCTATTTGCTAACTTAAATCTATTCCCCTTTGGAACTCAACAAAAAATTCAAAGACTTAACTTATGTACAACAATTCTTATGAACTAAGGTCCTAATCATCACCTCAATATACTAGAAACCTTTTTCCTCAACTCTCAAGGCTTTCTCTAATCTTCGATCCACAAATCGAATAACTTCAAAATTGCCTTGGAACCACTTTATCACTTGGACTCCTCTTGTCATTTGCTGCTACGAAGCTCACCACACTTGTTGCTAACAGAAGTTCACCTCAGTCATCTTCACTTGAGGTTCGGACTTTATACTGTGAAGTGACATCACAATTCTGAGTGAGATCACTCTCCTTATTTACATACTTATCGCTAACAGTCAACATTTCCTTTCTTCCTGGCAGCCTATTTCCCGACAATACTCACTAACCTTTTATATTATTCTTTTTTACAATTTTTCAGGATGTTTTATTCTTTAAGGTTTAGCAAGTTCCTAAGTTGCTTGTGGGATCTCCCCCCTCTTCCTCGGTGTGGACTTACTTTTTTCTGCTCGGGAGCGCAAGTGTGTGCGAGTTTTTTTTCTATGGCGCTTTTTCTCAGTGAGTTGGTTCTCTTTCTTCTATTTTTAAGTTTCTAAGGTAATTGGTGAGGAAACCTTCATCCTAACAAAACATAAGCCCCAAACAAAAATAGAATACAAAGAAAAATAAAAAATAACTAAAAATAACGCTCGGACTTGGTTTCTTACACCAAGTAATGATCCTAGCTCCTGTCAAAGTAGCCCTTCTGGAGGTCTTGGAAGCAAGCAGAGAAAGCTTCAAGTGTATTGCTTGTTAGCTCATTTGTCACAGTCTGTCAAATGTCTGCAATATCTTGACGAAACGTCCTTTTCAGTTGCAACCCTTTGTCAGAAAAGGGTGATTTTTTCTTGTTTCCACGAGTGAAAAGGCAGGCAGATGAAAGGGACATTTCATCAAGATTGATCACAGACATCCAACAGACTGTGACAAATGAGCTAACAAGCATCACACTTGAAGCTTTCTCTGCTTGCTTCCAAAACCTCCAGAAAGGTTGGTAATTATGTAAAGATAGATGAAGGCATCTTTGACAGGAGCTAGGATCATTACTTGATAATTGAAATTTTCTATTTTTTACAAGCTTCATCTTGGAATTTTTCTAACAAAGGGTGTATTATATAAAAATAACAAGCTTTTTCTATTTTACTTTTTTCTTGTTTCTAAATATCAACACTAGAATTTTACAATGACTCACATATGTTTTGTTATAATTGTTATAAAAGATAAATCACTCACTTTTATAGAAGCCATGATTTGTTTCCTTTGCTATTAAAACATTTTGGAGCACTTTTAAGTTCATTTTCCAAGTACAGTGGAACCTCGGTATACGACCTTACTCCATTCCTGGTGTTTGGACTTATACCGAATAGGACGTATATCAAACCAACCTTTTCCATAAGAAGTAATGTAAAAATGATTAATCCGTTCTCATGTAAAAAAATGGCTGGCTTTAAACAACTCGCTTTCCTCACTAGTTTCTGCTTGATTTTTCATGAGATTAGCATGTATCCTTTTAACTTTCTCGCAAATAATTTCTTCCGATACGCTGTCACTGGCACACTGTTTTTCAGTTATCCAAAGCAAAAGCAATTTCTCGACATGATCTAATGTCTTCGATCTCTGTTTAGAAATTGATTTAATCCCTTTCACAACGTTAGCAACTTTAATAATGTCTTTATTTTTCATGATTGTCGATATCGTCATTCTCGGAATACGGAATGCAACAGTTAAATCTCATTAAATCTCGAACATGCATGCTACCTTCATATTTCTCAACAATCTCTTTTTTCAGTTCCGTTGTGATTCTAGTCATTTTTTTATTTTTCTGTTGCCCTTTTGCAATTCATGATTAATAAAAATAATAAAATGTTACTTACAAATTAAAATCAGAAGAAATTTAAGAAAGTTATAAACCGTAGCACCGCGAACGTCTAGTCTAGTGTAGTACACCGATGCTGCTATTTGTTCATAGATGGCGTGTATAATTGAATTAAGTCGTATATCGAGCAAAATATTCCGAATTAGACGTATTCTAAAGCAGACGTATACGAAGGTTCCACTGTATATTTAAATTAGAATAATTAATTCCATTATTATTCTGAAGTTTAATAGATTCTTCTTCCATATTAATATTAGTTTAAAAGAGGAAAAATAAACCTCTTTTAAACTAATATTAATATGGAAAAATAACTGATAACAACAGAATGTTTCTTTCTGTTTTAATTTGTTTGAATACACAGAAAAATATAGTAATTAAAGTAACTTTTGAGTTATTTGGAGATATTTATGACAAAATAACACTATGCCAAAGTTTACTGAAAGAATACTTTTAATATTTACAATTACAAAAGATATATCTTCACTCATTAGATGAAAACAATTGATACTGTTTAACTTTTAAAGCTCTGAAAGTATCTTTTTCTATGTACAGTACCTGGAGATGAAATTTTTATTTCCCAAGCTACAAAAGGAATTTCTTTAGCAAAACTAGTCAAACAACTTTTCCTTTGGCCAATTTTGTCTTGAATGGATTAAGGCAATTTTGGCTAATTTCACATTTAAAGAGTTAAACAGTTTTTGCTTGTTATTCTAGTGTAAGTATTTGTAATGTATAATGTAAGTACTTCAGATGAATAAAAAAATATATACAGTATATATTTTTAAATTTCTGATGAATAAGTTATAAAAATTGTATAAATATTAAAAAAAAATTGGATTAAAATATATTTTTTAGTAAAAAATTTCAGCATTTTTTTTAATGACATGTGACTGCCTGTTCTGATGACATTGTTTTAGGAAATTGATATGGAAAAGATTAGCAAAGGACAAAACTAATTAATATTATCAATTTCTGAACAATAAGCTTGCAAATTAGCTTGACTTTTATATTCTGTAAATGTAGATAGTAAATTAATCTTCTGTCTTCATGATTGTCTCCTCATAATGAGAATGAAGACATTTGAAGATGGCCACAAGAGAAAGTTGGAAAGAAATGAATGCAGCATTTTTTCAGAAGCTGATTGTGATCATGCCATAACATATCAAAGCTATGATTGCAAAAGAGAACCAACACAATTTTACCCTGAAAACGTACAATCTAACTTCTCTTATCAGTTATTTTTGTTTATACAAGGTCTGTTCAAAAAGTATTGGACCTTTGGTCGGCAAAAATAAATTTATTGACTTTGAGGTACAAAACCCTAATCCCCTTCAAAGTAGTCTCCTTGGTAATGTATACACTTCTCCCAGCGTTCCTGCCATTGCTGGAAACACTGCTGGAACGCATCTTTTGGAATGGTTATCAGCCGGTCCGTCGCATTTCGCATGATGTCTTCTCTCGACTAAATTTGGGTTCCTTTTAGCGGCATTTTCAGCTTGAGAAATAGCCAAAGGTCACACGGAGCCATGTGGAGAGAGTACGGAGCGTGACGAACCACAGGAGTATTGTGTTTGGCGACGAAAGCCCGAATCAGATGCGCAGAATGGGCGGATGCGTTATCACGATGGAGCTGCCAAGTTTTGATCGACCACAGATCCGGTCGTTTGCGTCGCACTGTATCGGAAAGACGACGAAGGACCTCCTGGTAGTACTCCTTTGCGATGGTTTGGCCTTGTGGTGCGTACTCACGACACACCACCCCACGAGAGTCGAAAAAACTGTCAACATGACCTTTGATATTGCTGCGGACCTGCCGCGCTTTTTTTGGCCTCGAGGATCGTCCCCGAAAGCCTGCTGAATCTTGCGAATGGTTTACACTCGGGTATCGCCAAGGTTTTTGGCAAAATTTGATGTAATATCGCTGCTCACGTTGTTCAGTCATTTTCCAGCTTAGTGGAATCCGACGAGAGCGCGCTACATGACCTCACTCATAGGCCGATTGCCAACGACTGACTGGCAATTCAAGGCTGTGCATGACTGTCTCCTCCACAACTCCACCGAAGGAGGCCTCTCGCGCATCATTGGTTTACGCGTTAAAAAAAAGGTCCGATACTTTTTGAACAGACCTTGTAGGTTGTAGTTAAAACAGTGTTCCTTTAATTTTTCAATATATTTTATATATGTTTTGTTTTGTCATTTATTTATATTATCTAATATTTTTTGTTTATAACTTAAATATCATTTCTTTCATTATTTATACATACAACTTCACTTTCAGTAAGTTTTTACTTGAATATATGCATTTCATATGCATATTAAAAGAAATATTCTGAAATTATACAAATTGTTAGAATTGGTTTAACTGAAGATAGAATAAGGAATTTGAAAATGTTTTTTGACTTAATACAATAAAAAATTTAATATAAACTACTGTTTTACCAATATTATTAATATATGATGTTGGTCATATTGTATTCTATAATTTTTGTTTATTCATTTAAATTATTTTTTAATTATTTACCTTATGCTAGATAAAGCAAAGAGTGAGATCAAGAAGTGTTTCATCTCCACAAGCTGGTACTCTAAGTACAAATTCCTTACAACCCTCCTCATCAGTTTCTCTGAATAATGTTAGCACAAGTCCACCTCCAATATCACAACAGACTCAAACTGGAGAAAGTCTTTCTTTTGCCTCTAAGAATTCTTTTGTGTCAAATACAATATCAAACAGAAATATCTCAGGAATTCTTCCACAAAATGCTGTTTTAGCTCAGTTGCTAATGTCAGGTATGTTAATTTCTCATTGTTATTTATTTATTATTTTTATATTTGTAAATGTTTTAATTAGAAAATTATTTTATAGGTACAACAATAGCTCCTCGTTTGGATAGACCATTATCATTCACCAATGTGACTACCACAACAACAACCACCACTACACTTTCTTCTACAGTTACTATTATAAACAGTATTCCACCATTAGCTGCAACTACACCCACATTTGTGCTGTCACCTGTTGCTATTGCTACAGTAAGAAACTAATTTTACTTATTTTTTAAGAAAAAATTGATTATAATTAAAATTAGTGTAATATTTCATATGTAACATCTTAAAAAACAAGAAATTTAGTTTATAAAGAGTTAATAATATATTTTAATATAGTAACTTCTTGATTTATGAATGAGATAAATCAAGAAGTTTATCATTGCAAATTAAGATCTCAAAGTTTATCATGTATTAAACACTTTTAATTGTTTAAGAAATAGAAACAATTAGCAAAATGTAAAGAATAGCATATAATAGAATACTTATTTATTGTTGATATTTTACTCATCAGTAGTTTTATTATCTTCACATTTTCCTCATAAATGGTTCTATGTGCAGATGAAGTAGATAGAAGAGGATTTGATAGTGAAACAGATTTATTCACATTTTTAAAATATGAGAAGATTGCAAAGTTAGCTTTTTTTTCATTAAAAATCTCACTGTAACATGCTAGACAGTTTCCAGATACAATCAAAGTATTTATCAGGTACTGTACATTTGGTATTCATTATAGCATAAATCAAGAAGTGCCTACATAATGAACATAAATAATAATTGGATTATAATTTTTTATTTGTATTTGTTGTGAGATGGCATCTTTTAACATCAGGAGCCTGACACTAGTTAGAATAAATATTTTAGACCATGTTCTAACTCATGATGGGAAGAATGTTTTAATTTAATTTTTGTCCAAACTTAAAGGATTAAATATATTTATTTATACAAAGAAAAAATAATGATAAGGATTACAAAATAAACATACTTGATTAAGTAATATTAAAATAACACTATATAACTTTCAAATTTTGATACAATGTTTGTAAGACAGCTTAAACTATCCTATCTTAAAGCCTACACTTATTTGCATCGAGAGAGTTTACAGTTATTCCATTTGTTACCTTGGGATGTACTGCGAGAACGTTTTCTTTTGATTGAGAAGACTCCTTGTCTCATTTTTCCTTTATGGGATCGATGTATCAAATGTAAGGCAGGAACAAGGAACTTATTTACATGGTTAAACAGTGTATGGCTAAAAACATGAGATTCATGATAGAAAAACTTGGATAAAAGGTGACCTCCATCTTTTATACCAAATTAGTGGACCAATGGGGGTTGTCCACAATTTGTTTCTGTCGCTTCTAACACTTTCATTCTAGAAGGAACTCTAACTTCCTCTGATTAACAGGAAAAGAGGAAAAATGATGTACATTGATAAATTTCTCTGTTTTTCAAGTGAAATAAAATAATATTTTAAACTAAATTTTTTAAACATTTTAAATATCAAAATATTCCCTAATATAATCCTGGTTCTCACATTGTCATTATCTTTGTCTTGTGTGATAATTTTTATGTAATATTGTTATATTTATATGTACCAGTACAAATTTTTAAAGCTATTTAAACATTTATGGATCTATAAATTAATTTTAAGTTAGAAATCAGTTTTTTTTATACAGTAATACCTCGACTTATGCTACCCCAACTTACGCGAACCTGGAGTTACGCGATTTTCAAATCTTGTTGATTCGTCTTTTGTTTGAGTGCTACGCAACTCTCGATTACTCACTCTCCCCTACACTATTGTTCAGCTTACATGTTCAGACGTGTCGTGCGGAATCGACACATAGCTACAATTTATTTTGTGTTATTTATTTCTGTGTTTATTATATCTACGGAGACTTGAGAAACTCTATGTAGTGATTTCTGGTAATTGTGAATGAATCAAAAGACGAGATAAGATTAACAAGAACATTTATTAGCTTACATATATCCGACTTGGAGTTTACACAAATTGCGAAATTATACCCCGATTTATGCGAATTCGACTTACGTGGTTATCGCTCGGTCCTATCTATCGCGTAAGTTCAGGGTATTACTGTATTTATTTTCTAAATGCTTTCAAAATTCTTAGATTTTTTATCTTTTGAAGACTGATTAAACTATACTTTTAGTGGAATAGGCAATAATCTGAATTAGGAATAAAAGAATAATTTAAAAGTTCTCAATTTTTAACAAAAATAAGTTATTTAGTTTTTAATCTTGTATGATCTTAGAAGAAATCTGATTGTGACAAAATTTTGTAATTGTAGTTTGTTTCTTCAATTTCTGTATGACCTTGTCATTAGATGTTAAAAAGTTTTTTGTATGAAAAATGATTGTAATGTTGAAATTAGCACTTTTGGGATGTGGAGCATAAACAGTGATTAAAATTAAGGTAAAAATAGAAATTTTAACAACTAGAATAGAATGTAATGCAGTGGTGCCTCGAATAACGGACGCTGCGAACAATGGACTTTCCGTTCAGCAGTTATGTGAGGTGAACAATGGTCTTTCTGTGAACAAGTGCGAATAATGTTTCCACTCTTTTGCCATTGCCAATGACAATCTGCTATTTTTATAATATATTAGTATAATTAAAATATATTATTAGTATATCTGAAGTACAGAGCTTCCATTGGGATTCGGATTGCTCCCTTGTTTATTATGTACATCACCTCAGTGCAGGGTATTTACATTTATTCAAGTGTTGTGCAAATCATGGCTTCTAAAAAAACAGAAAGGTGATTTCAATTGAAACAAAGCAAGACATCATCAGAAGGAGTGAAAGTTGACAAAAACTTCCTTGTCAAATGGGGAGATGTTAAGGAGTTTACCAATACTCATTATCCAAACAGAGCTGAGGCCAACAGCATCAATGATCTCTACAATGACACCCTTGCCCATCATTTCCGACAGGTGTTGAAGAAGAGAGAGAAACAAACCACCTCGGACATGTTTTTCAAGAAGCAAGCTGCCAAAAAATAAAGGATGGAACAAGAGGAGATGACCCTGCAAACTCGGGTAGCATCTCCTGAATCTGACTCCGATTAAAAAACAATAAAAAGAGACCTGTTGAAATGTGTACAAAGTCTGTATCTGTATGAATGTGTAAAGAAAGTGTTCCTCCACCTCCTCCTCACAACATCTGACTACCCAGCATAATTGGTGACTGCTCCATTTTCATTTTTTTATGATACAGTATGGTTATTTTAAGCTGTGGAATGAATTATGTTTTAACATGTATTTCTATGGGAAAATGCGTTTCGTATAATGGACTTTTTACTTAACAGACGTGCACCTGGAATGGATTAATTAATTAAGTACGTTATACGAGGCACCACTGTATTTAGATTCTTTTCTAGTTCTTAAAATTTTTAAATAATTTTAATTTTAAAACTGTTTTACAGATAACAATTATGCCATCTCCTCTCATATCATAACAAAATATGGTTGACATTATATATCTGTATTCAAAAGATATTACTTATGGGAATCAACTTTCTGGGAGAAATCCCAGTTTGTTGGTTAACACATATATATCATGTGTTTCATTCACTATAAAATTCAACTCTACATATTTGTCATGTAGAGATTGAATATTTTGCAAAAATGTACATGGCATCATAAACAAATAAGATCTAAATGGAGAATAAGAAATAGAATAAATAGAGCACCTTGTAACTTCAGCAGTAAATTTAATAAATTAGAATGTTTTCGACTTAATATCATTGGCCTTCTTTAGTGAATTATACAAATTTAAATAAAAAGAACAAACGTAATCATATCTAATGCAATGGTAATAATTTAAAAATCAAAAAGCATTACTAAGAGAGCACATGCTTAGTAAATTAAAATCAATAAAATAGTTAAACAAACAAATAAACGAAATGGTATGAAAGTGCTAAAAATAGAGATTAATATAAACAAAAACAATTAAAATATAACAAGTCCCAAATTACATTTCATAAATGCACTTCCATGCCATAGGTAAGGTGTCAGCATACCTATGATTGATACAAAATAGTTTCTGGTTGGCTTTAAAATTTATAAGAGTTCTAGGAACTTAATAATACACTGCTGACCAAGTAAAATGCAACACCTGCAACATCTAGAGGCCCACATGGTGTTGCATTTTACTTGGTCAGCAGTATATTAGGGATCATAGCAGATCCAATAATCCTGGCCTCTTCCCATTTTATCCTTTTAATTTATATTAATTTTTGGAAAAAATTCAAGGAACTGAAGAAGTTTTTCGTTAATGACAGGTTCTGTTATAGACAGGTTTGACTGTAGTTTTCTAAATTTTTGAATTATTTTTCATTCTTTTTTCAGTAAGCTTTACAGACACGCATGTGTGTTATGGTGTACATGTAAAACTTCAAATGCTCACAGCTTCTGATAAGTGCATGTTTTGGAAAGAATGCTTCAGATATGTTTGTTTTTGATATATAATCATAATTAGCTATGAAAAATGGGGTTTTCATTTAAGAAAATGAAGTTGATTCTGTTTTCTCCAATTGTAGTGCCATCTATGATGAAATCAATATCACCAGCTTGAGGTCCCTTGAAGTCTAAAATTTTAGTTTTAATGAATTTTTGGTAAGATGTGTAGTTTTTTGAGTTATTCCAGTAGATTGATTAAAATGGTCCACCCTGTATTTCTTGATTCATGTATTCTTGTAGATTAGAACTATACTATATTCTATTATATCTTGTAAATCCTTTATATTTTTTGTACTTTGAAAATAAAAATTATAGAAAATGAAATTTACAGTACATACATAAAAATAATTATAGAGAGATTTATAATCTCTGCAATAGCATTTAATTAAATTATGTAATTTATTTAAAGGTAACGAAACCAGTTTATTTATAGTTGTTTTTATTTATTTCAGGTTGCAAGTGTACCAACATTACAAAGAAATTTATTTGTTGATACTGCAACTAATCAAATAGTTGGATGCCAAACCTCTACACAAGGTTTTACATATTATTTTTTATATTTAAATAAAAAAAAATATATTCAGTAAGACCCTGCATAATGCAGGGGATGCATTTTTAGACGACAAAGTGCTAAACAAAACAGTGTTAAATGAAGTCATTTTAACATAGAGTAAATAGGGATAGGTGAACACGCGACCAAAAGTAAACAAAATTTACTTTAATTTTAAGTTGTATAATTATGCAAATCAATATAAAAATATGTTAAATAACACATAAACATATGCATACAGAAATGTAAAGTTCATTTTTTGTGATGAAGGTTCTGACTTTTCTGAAATTCTTTGTTTTTTTTGCAATAAAGTCGTGAAGTTTCATTTGTCATTTTTTTTTTAAGCAAATGTCGGTAGCAGAAAATCGCATCCAAGACACCTCGTTTTGCTTTTGCACTCCTTTCAAAATCTGGATCATTCGCTACAGTTTGATCAATGATTTCAGTTATTGTTACCAAATTTTTACTAAGGAAATCTGTAGAGAAACTTTTTGGGTTCTTTATTTTCAGAATCTCTATTTTCCAGTTCTACATGAATTCCTTGTTCTGCCAGTTCTTGAAAGTCGTCATTGGTAAGACTCTCACCAGAAACCTGTGGTAACTCATCAATATCATGCTTGTCTACATCTCTTAGTCCTGCTGTATCGATTAGGTTGACTATAGTCAACCTAACGATACAGTGATAGGCTCTTCTTGTTGAGAATTTTTGGATACCTTCAGCCATAACTTCTTCCACACTTCTTTGTGCATTTATCAGTTAATTCTTGCCAAGCAAAGCCGATATTGCCTATGGCATCCGTGATGTTATATTTTTCTCTAAAATTGCATCAAACAAACATAGATTTAAAGAAAGTACACCTTTTTGCCACTTTTTTCTGATTGGTTCATGTTCATAAATGATCGTATTATATACGAATCAATGAAATGCCATGATAATTTAAATTGGCATAAATTTTGAGCTTTTTTAAGGCTTCAAGCAGATCACATTATATTGAATCAACGTTAAACAAGGCAGCGTTAAGCAGGGTCTTACTGTATTTGTAATTAATTATTTTATTAATGTTGTTGTTATTTATTTATTGATAGAATGTTTTCATGTTTATTATTTTATGATATCAATAAAATAGTTGTTTCTTCGTGAAGAATTTGATAGACAAACTATGATTAGGAAAAATTAATACATCAGAGCAAGATTTTGTTTCTGCATTTATAAGCTGCATTAAATGCAAATTTTTTAAGTAACAAACACTAATTTTCCTATATAATGAGAAATTACCTGAATACAGTCGACCCCCCTATAACACTGTTGATTATTCCGTTTTATATGAATTCCATGTTGTACGAGTCACTTAGATTTTACAAATACATGCGCCGGGCTGTGAATGGCTCATGTATTTGTAAAATTTAAGTGACTCGTACAACACGGAATTCATATAAAATGGAATAATCAACAGTGTTATAGGGGGTTGATTGTATAAATGTGCAAGAATGCTATATATTTTTAATATGATCATTCCAAACCTTGATATTTTGACAATCAGCCGTAAAGATTTCTATCAAAAGTTTAATTCTACAAATGTAGGATTGAATTTTTGTTAAGTATCTTAATCTCAAACTGTTTTAAATAAAATGACCTTTGATTAAAAACTTATTATTTTATATTTTAAGAGTTTATTTAAGTGATGTTGATTTTTATTAATTTCATCATTATGCTTATATGCTTAAATATGATATAATTCTGATTATTATCCTCTCTGTCTATATACTTATATAGAAAATAATAACAAAAATTATACACACATACAAAGATTCTGTTTTTCATATTTTCATAAAAAGTAATTAAATTGAACATAAATAAATAGTGCTAGAAATCTTAAACTTATTAATAATTCAGTTATAGTCTAAAGCTATCAATAATGAAAATTATAAATTTTTTGTAACTTACATATTATTAATTTTACTCATGTCTAATTATTTATAAAATAATGAAATATAAGTTGATTTTATATAAACTTGAACAATTTTATTATAGTTATACTTATGTAAATTAACATAATTAGGAAGTTTAATTATGGATTACATTTTGCATTTATAATTTCTTTATAAATACATTATTATATTTATTATTATTTAATGTAATTTCAAATTAAATTATAGTAGACAAAAATAGTTTGAATAATACACAAAATAAAATTGAACAGTTATTAAAAGCATTAGATGATTCATTTATTCACAGAAAAATGTTTTTCAACCATATTTTATTCATCTTCTGGTCCTACTGTTCAAAATCAAATATTCTATAAGCCAAGTTATCCGTTGTAAGATTTTCATTTTTGTTATAAGATTTCAGATTTTCAGTCTCAAATCTTTTAAACTTCAGAAAAGTCAGTTTTTAAGAAGATAAAATACTTGAATTTAAGTTGGAATTTTATGATGGATGACTTCAACTTACATAACATTTGATTTTGAATTATAAGTACAGTAGAATCCAGCTAGTCTGAACTAATTGGGATTGAGCCCTTTTCGGATCAGCCAAATAATTGAAATAATGCAGAAGCAAGCAGTAAAACAAGTCTGGTTTATATAGATCCAACACTATCAATGATGTCAGTGCTCCACCCTTTATTTCATCTGACTTGGTTTCAATAGAGGGTGCAAACACAACAAAAAAATTTTTTAAATTTTGAAATGGCAACCTACCTTCATTGTTTACCTTAAAATTATTTTAACTGTAAAAAACATTGTTTTTAATACACAGTCCAGGATTCCAATCAGTTGACTGATGCTACTGTGTGAGTTAGCACACTTAATTGTAGATGTTGAATGTACTCTTCACTCTACGTTATTTTAGTCTGATGCCACAATGGCCATGAAATGGTGTACGTTGAAAGACAAGATGGACGTTTTAAAAAGGCTGGACAAGGGTGAAAGGGCAACAAAATTTGCACTAGAGTTTGGAGTGGACAAGGCCACAATAACCGACTGGAAAAAGAACCATGCAAAGATCAAGCAGTTTTATGCCTCTACTTCAGAAAAATCAGTTGAAAATTGACAAACAGCAAGGCCCTCAACATTTCACAAGCTTGATGAAGCCTTATTCACATGGTTCACTCAGGAAAGAGAAAGGGGACACCCCTAAGTGGATCTCTTGTTAGAAAAAATTTTCTCTTTGCCAAGTGAAACATGTTCAGATTATTGGTGTTCAGACTAGTGGGACTCTATTGTATTGAAATCAATGTTCACAGTTAAAAATTTTTTCTCTGTCTTTAATTTACATTTATGGTTTCATATTGTTTAGATTTTACTTAATCATTTATTTTTATAAAGTAAAAGTCAGTAGTAACTTAAAATGATTAAAATATAAGAAATTATCTTCTGTGATAATCTAAATAAAATCTGTGAACTTAATGAAATATCATAATTATATTAATACATTTGAAATATAATATAAAAAAATAAAATACAAATCATACAGTCTAATGATTTAATATTTTAGATGGTATCCCAGCTAGTATTTCACCAGCTTTATTAAATTCTTCTATTGACCTCAAAGTTTATCATGTATTAAACACTTTTAATTGTTTAAGAAATAGAAACAATTAGCAAAATGTAAAGAATAGCATATAATAGAATACTTATTTATTGTTGATATTTTACTCATCAGTAGTTTTATTATCTTCACATTTTCCTCATAAATGGTTCTATGTGCAGATGAAGTAGATAGAAGAGGATTTGATAGTGAAACAGATTTATTCACATTTTTAAAATATGAGAAGATTGCAAAGTTAGCTTTTTTTTCATTAAAAATCTCACTGTAACATGCTAGACAGTTTCCAGATACAATCAAAGTATTTATCAGGTACTGTACATTTGGTATTCATTATAGCATAAATCAAGAAGTGCCTACATAATGAACATAAATAATAATTGGATTATAATTTTTTATTTGTATTTGTTGTGAGATGGCATCTTTTAACATCAGGAGCCTGACACTAGTTAGAATAAATATTTTAGACCATGTTCTAACTCATGATGGGAAGAATGTTTTAATTTAATTTTTGTCCAAACTTAAAGGATTAAATATATTTATTTATACAAAGAAAAAATAATGATAAGGATTACAAAATAAACATACTTGATTAAGTAATATTAAAATAACACTATATAACTTTCAAATTTTGATACAATGTTTGTAAGACAGCTTAAACTATCCTATCTTAAAGCCTACACTTATTTGCATCGAGAGAGTTTACAGTTATTCCATTTGTTACCTTGGGATGTACTGCGAGAACGTTTTCTTTTGATTGAGAAGACTCCTTGTCTCATTTTTCCTTTATGGGATCGATGTATCAAATGTAAGGCAGGAACAAGGAACTTATTTACATGGTTAAACAGTGTATGGCTAAAAACATGAGATTCATGATAGAAAAACTTGGATAAAAGGTGACCTCCATCTTTTATACCAAATTAGTGGACCAATGGGGGTTGTCCACAATTTGTTTCTGTCGCTTCTAACACTTTCATTCTAGAAGGAACTCTAACTTCCTCTGATTAACAGGAAAAGAGGAAAAATGATGTACATTGATAAATTTCTCTGTTTTTCAAGTGAAATAAAATAATATTTTAAACTAAATTTTTTAAACATTTTAAATATCAAAATATTCCCTAATATAATCCTGGTTCTCACATTGTCATTATCTTTGTCTTGTGTGATAATTTTTATGTAATATTGTTATATTTATATGTACCAGTACAAATTTTTAAAGCTATTTAAACATTTATGGATCTATAAATTAATTTTAAGTTAGAAATCAGTTTTTTTTATACAGTAATACCTCGACTTATGCTACCCCAACTTACGCGAACCTGGAGTTACGCGATTTTCAAATCTTGTTGATTCGTCTTTTGTTTGAGTGCTACGCAACTCTCGATTACTCACTCTCCCCTACACTATTGTTCAGCTTACATGTTCAGACGTGTCGTGCGG